CTTTCTAGTTTTTCATTACATTTATCTATTTATCATTACAGTGCATATAGGTCAAAAATCTCTTTTAGATCTAAAGAACAATAAATTAAGACTATGTATTTAATTTGTACATTTATAAACACGCATGACCGTGTATTATACATCAATTTTTCTTCAGACATGAGCTGAGGCCACTGAAAAGTCTGACGATAAGAAACTTTATAAGAATCTTTACAAACATAGATACATTGCGTGTTACAGTAAATGTTCAACCAAGCTTCTTTCTTTACGCCTCACTCAGCTATTAACAGTAGTGAAGGAGAAACTCCAAGTGTACTGTGAAACAATATATTCAAGAAGTGGTTTGAATCAGACGTAGATTCTAGATAATTCCAAAAAACTTTTGGATAATCTTAAATCACAATATTTTACCAAAATCAACATCTTAAAAACTCTAGACACAATAAAAATTAAAGTCCAGGCTTTTTGATATCATTGATAGCTGTTTTTTTTCAATAAAAATAGAACTCGTAAATTTACTTAGCTTTTCATTGGTCATTTGCAAAATTATTTTGTTAAAGCACAAGTACTCTGAAGTCGGCATCCATAAGATGCCGACTGACAATATCTATGTGGTTTTTGGAGAACAAGTCTTCCAACAATCTATTGGAATCCTCATGGGTACTTATTGTGCTCTGTTATAAGCAGACCTATTTTTGTATTCATATGAAGAAGAATTTGTGCAAAATCTAATGATGATGAAAACACTTGCTGAGCTCTTCAACTCGAAATTTAGATATAACGACAACCTACTGTCAATTAACAATGGTATTTTCTATTTTTGTTTCAATACGATATATCCTGGTGAGCTTGAATTGAAAGATACAACACAGTCTGACACATCTGTTTCATATTTAGATATTCTACTTGAACAAAGACGATAATGGTAATCTAACAACCAAGCTCTATGATAAACGTGATGATTTTAACTTTTCTATCGTCAACTTCTCTTACTTACGCAACAATATACCCTCATCACCTGGATACGAAGTTTATATATCTCAGTTGATTCGATACACAAGAGCATGCTCTACGTATGAACAATTTCTAAAACGAGGTAAATTATTGACAAACAAGTTGATGAAACAAGAATACTAGCAGTCTCGTTAAAAGTCATCATTTTGTGAGTTGTATGGTCGTTCCAATGACCTTGTCAGCTAATACAATTTATCATTGAGTCAAATGCTGACTGACGATTTTCATACTAATTGTTAGTCCATTATTAATACACTGAATTGACACCTGATTTTCCGTTATTTTTCGATCATGACAAGGAACACACGGTGTTTTGTATTGTTTTATGGACTTTGATATTGAATACTGTTCGTTATCTCCATATCCTTCATCCTATACGATCTCGCAAAAATGAAAGTAATATCAATTTATAAGTAAAAATGTTTAAGTATTTAAACACAGTAATTAATTATCATAAATAATTGTAGATTCTGAAACAAAAAAGAAGATTATGTATACCGTAACCGTATCTGTCAGAGATATGTCGACGAAGTACCCATAGTCTAATACCATCAAATGTGATGGAAAAGTAAACAATAGAAATTCGTCATAAATTTTCTTTTCAGCTACAAGGCAAAATTTTGTTTATATATTCTCAAATATTTTAAAATAAATAGGTCTCGTCCTAAATTTTATTTAAAAAAGAAAGGAATTAGATTACAATGCAGTAGGTAATATTAAAACAAAATATTGAAATCTATTTAAGGATTGCAAGACTCCCATTTTTCCCTGGCAATTTTTTAAGTGGAAAAGGAGTATATAAGAGTTGGTCACTTGAAAAAGATCTCTTGAAACCCACAGGTCTGTAAAATGAATTAACTTATTTTTATTTATATACATTTGTGACCGTTTAATTATATATAATTTTTAATTTGCGTACCTAATTGTATGGCAGTGACTCGTATGAGAGGAGACAGGAAATATCTCTGCAATGATATGTCCTTGAAGCAACTTTTCATTAATAGATATTTTCCCTATTTTTAACAAAAATCTGTTTTTGAACTTACAAAAAAAAAATCGAATCAACTTTGCAATAAACGTAATCAACTTTAAAAAATAGTTGGAATTTCTTATCATGACATTGTTTACATAAATTTATGTTGCATACATATGTATAGTTTTCGTCTTCATTTTCTTCAATTTGTCATGAGCTTTAGCGATTCCAAATGGATTTATTTCTTAGCGATTCTCGGGTTTTGCAAGTTAGAGACTGAAGAAATGTTGTCAAAAGCGTACACACAAAAGAGGTGTGTTGCCAATTACTTTTTGGACATTGACAATATCTGTAAAGGTTAGTTAAAATTCAATTGAAAAATATTGAATTTACATCCTTAAATTAATTTATGTAAAACATCTGAGACGGCAGACCTATGTTAGCAGTTAAGTTTCAAAATCCTAAAATATCTTAACATTTTCTAATGCATTTTAGCTGCAAGACAGATCGATAGCTTTAATCAAGATCAAACAGCATGTCTCAAATCAGTTATTAAATTCAATGATATGCTTAGGGTAATGTATTACAATTTACAGAAATTTTGAATTGCGATAGTTACATTTCCATTACACCAGTTTACATTTTACTGAATAGGAAAAAATTTTTATTGTTTATCACACAGAAAAGAATCTATATTAATTAGATATGGATGAAACATATTGAAATAACGAACAGTTTTTAAGATCAAAAGTCCATAAAAGAATACAAAATAGGAGCAGAGCAAACACGGACCTCCAAAACATCGGAGGTGGGATCAGGTGCCATAAAGGAGTGAGCATATCCTGCCAATGGCTGATAGGAGCTGGTATACCTATCAAAAAATTGAGCATACCTTACCGACCGGTCAAACTCGCTCCTTGTCATGATCGGGAAATAACGGAAAAATTTGTTGTCAATTCAGTGTATAAATAATGGACTAACAATTAGTATAAAAAACGTCGGCATTTGATAAGAAATTGTATTTTCTGACATGGTCATTGTATTACCATAGAACTTACGAAATGATGATTTTAAACGAGACTGCTGATATTCTTGTTTCGTCAACTTGTTTGTCGGTAATTTATGTTGTTGGATTTGCAGAAAAGTTAAATCCAATGATATTCATATAAAGGTTATTTTTTCTGAAACCCCTCTTTCAATTTTTTAAACAACATTTTGAAGTTTTATAGCTACGTAAATAAATACAACAGCAAGCACTTCTACTTCTACTGATGAGTGGCCTCCGTCAATTAGCTGATTATTATGCCACCAGGTGTGTGCATGTTTAAAAAAAAGTAAAAAAATGTAACAATTATGACAGTCTATGTAAATGTGAGTTTAAAAAAAGAATTAATTTGCTGGTGACTTATTGACGGAGACGAGCCTTGAAACAGTCAAGGCTCGGAGCCATCACGGTAGAGACAGAGCACAAGTTGTAGGAAAGGGAAGGTTTTACAAGGAGAAAGCAATGTTAAGGAGGCTGGGGGTTAACAAATAAATCACAAATTAACCACCAGATTTAACTTATTTTTTTTTTTTTTTTTTAGATCTATACGGTATCTTAAGCTGTCAACTATCATTAAGAAAAGAAAAAAAATCATATATTTTAGTTTCAAAATTTGATCATTTTTGTATATCTTTATATGGAGTTCTTCTTTTAAAGGAGATCGAAATTGTCTGAAAATGGCTGCCACCCCAGCTCTTTAATATATGCAATTACATATATACTTCATTAATTAAATGAAAAATGCACTATTTCTTAATAGGGTGCCCTCCAGGAATATTTGGATTGAATTGCAGTCAGAAATGTCCAAGTGGCACGTATGGGCAATTTTGTTCAAAATCTTGTCAGTGTCCCCCAGACAGATGCGACAGAACACACGGTTGTGAAGGTACTCACATTTACACTTTTTACAATTTAATTTGTTATATACTCTGAATAGGACCTTATTGCAAATATCTAATAAATGAAGTATCTTAATATATGTTATTTATAAGCAAATACAAAAAGAACTACTCAGAAAACCATCGTTTTGGAATGCATTGCAGACAAAGTCCTGGAGAATGAAGAAAAGTCAGGAATGTGTGTATCGTATGTATTGACTTAGATATGAAACGCCCCTTCAATTGTTTTTAAATTTGAATTGTTTGTTTTAATACTAGTAATACAATGGAAACACTGTGACCAGACATTTATAGAAAAACAGCAAATATATTTTTGTTTATCAAAAACATTGCATAAAGTACAAAATGTTAAATAATTCCATTGAAGTTTACGTCCTAGTTGTTACATGAGCAAATTACTTGGAGGAAATTATTGCGATAAATAATATCCATAATAAAAAGAGGAAATAAAATGCATTTATTAAATATGCAGACATAATTAGCTTTACTTAGAACTCCCCCCCCCCCAATCTTAAGGATAAATAACACAATCTCTTTTCCTACAGAATTCAGATATATGTGATAAATTAGATTTTCTCTTTCTTTAGAAGTGATATATGATTAATTAAAAATAACTTCGCAATTGACCAAGCATGATTTGGTGAAAAGTGCAAAAATGCAATTTTACTGTACAATAAGTTGTTTTTTTTATAATTGAAAATTTATGAATGCATGAAGTTTCCTTACGTTAACGTTTCTGGGGATTTTTCAAATTAATTTGTTTGAAAGACATATCGAAAAAATGGTCAGTGTTTGTGTGGTATGTATTCTTAATACAAACAATTGGTTATTTATATATCGTGAATGACAATATTTTCTTGTAGGACAGATGGTGTGCTTCAGTGCTGTCTGAGCTTTTACTTGACAAATAACACTTGCAAAGGTAGTTGTCAATTAAATCTATGTATAAAAACTTTTAATCTTATCTTTATGTAATGAATAAAATTAATTTTTTTCCTTAGAAATTCCTCCCAGTTTTGAAACTAAAAATATTCTGTATTTTATTCCCTTTAGCCTGTCCAGCTGGGACGTATAACAATAACTGCTCCGATCCCTGTCCGCCTGGACACTATGGAGAATTATGTTCCAAAGTATGTGACTGTCCAGAAGCCTCATGTGATAAAGTACATGGGTGTTCTCAAAAAGGTACAAGTAGTTTTTGCTTTCGATTAATTTACAAATTACTTTTAATTTACAATATGTAAAAAAAAACCCCAAGTACAGATGATATTATCATGAGCATTCAATATACTACGTAATATTTGTTAAACTGGTATTTCTACAGAAAAAAATAAATCAGTTACATATGTACAGAATAAATTGATATACCAAAACGTTACGTTTTTTAAAAAGTTAGGAGTCAAAATACATTTCTTTGATTATTTTAGCCTCAGGGACAGAGGTCCAGTTGAGGATGATCATCTTTACAGGAAGCATCACCCTTGTCTTCCTCTTGATAATGACGATACTTATCAGAAAGTTTGCTTAAAACCGTTATTTAAAGATCATAGAATTTTCAAAATGCTGATTAAAATGGGAATCAATATTTTCAGCCTGTGGCGTTGGGTTCTTTGGTGACAACTGCAATCAAACTTATCCGTACGGCCAATATGGAAAACTATGTGGAAAACAGTGTAAATGTACAACTGGTGAATACTGTGACAAAGCGTTGGGGTGTGTAACTAAAGGTAGTAGAAATACTTATATCAACATAACAATCTAAACATTTAACTTGAGACTATAAAACCTATTTTAATTATCTGTAGTAGTATTCACAGAATTTTTTTAGCAACCGGTTTTCTTAAATACTTGTAATTAAAAATATGATGATACATGAGATTTCATAAAAAAAAGAACTGTGCGACAAAACTAATGTGAATACTCTTTGGGTGTTTTTCCTACACACCCAGGAACAGTACATATTTCAATCTACATCTGTTCCCTCATCTAAACTAGATAGTAAAACTTCAAGAATGGGCTGGACAAAAACAGAATCAACTATAGAGATAGCAGTAAAAGAGTCTACCACAATACCGACAGAAACAAAGGAACAGACGAATAACAATATCATATTTATTTTAATGGGTGCAGTAATAGCCTTTCTTTTTCTTATAATACTTTTGACAATTGTTAAGAAATTGTGTTCTGTCCATTCAAAGAGAAAATATATCAAAAAGGAAAATATAATGGAATTTAATAAGGAAGGTAATGAAATAGAAGTATATCACGAAATAAACATGGATGAAATGTTGGCTAATCAGATAGAATTGCCTGATAATCGTTACAATAGAATAATGGACGATGTAGTGCGACCCAAATATTTGCAAATAGGATCCAAAATAGAAAAGGAAATAAAACAAACATATAATGAAATTGACAAGGAAAATTCAACTACGACCGGAAATAATGGAGAATATTTAGAACCGGAGTCAAGTGGGCGAGTGAATGCATACATAGAAGTTATAGAACCTTTGATACATAACTCTGACTCTTTAAATTGTGACCAAGATGGCGGAAGCTCCTCAAACAAGTCTGACCGGTCTTATCAGGATACAGGGACACTAGCACAAAGTGACATGTCATGTCCCAACGACATCAGTGATCCAAAGACACACAAATCGAAAAATAACGAATATTTAGATGTTGTCAATGAGTTATAATTAACATGGAATGAAAATAAATTTGATAGAAAGCTCAATATTTTATGTAGTTATTTGTTTTAGATTTAATTTAATATCAAACACCTACTTATTGCTAATTGAAAACGGAACTAATTCTAAGTATTCCCAACATTGCGATTTTTAAGTATTTAGTTATATGCTTGATTTATGCAATCCGAGGAAATTGCAGTGTATTTTAAAAATTTGATTAGTCAATGATTTTAACTAAAATACATGCGTACAACTGTAACAGGGGTATGGTAAGAAACACAAAACTCGTGTCAGGGTTCTTTATTTATTCACACTGGAGTGACTTATGGCATACATCAATTTAAACACAGCCCTGTTAACATAATAAAACAACAATAAATAGAATGTAAATATCACGCACATAATGCTCATTACTTTACATGAAGGTAATATATACATAGATTATCCTCCTAAGTTTACACATTATAATCAAAGGGAGATAACTCTCGAATATATAAATCTTTACATATTTCTCCCAAAATAGTCATAAAAAATTTCCAAGATAAAAACATATTAATCTCACCATTTCATGGGAATAGGCTTTCCCATCTGCTCAATAATTGTCTAATTTACAAGTGTCTATGAATGGTGATTTGTAATTTAATACAATGATATTTAAAAATATTATCTCTTAATAAGTTCAAATGGAAATAGCTTTTGCATACTATAGGATACACATTTAAAATAAGAAAATATTAGTAACTTACCAGGGAAGGAAATCTTCAGTCTCAAGTCAATGTCTATAAGTCTGGTCTGATCAACCATGGAACAAAGAATGGTCATGATAAAGTGGGAAAACTCTAGACCAGGCAAGATAACCAATCGAATCCAACCTTTCAAATTAATGATTAATAAAAACCAAAATCACAATGCCCACTTCTAAAATACCTGATCAATGCCCTGGGGTATACACAAATATGTACAGATAATACAGGTAAGGAGAACTAAGGAGTGGATCTAGGTTTTTAATAGCAAGTTAAATAAAAGTTAAAATAAATATTCTGGCAAGTTCTATAACTTTATTTCATACAAATCCAACACTATTACACAACCAAGAGAAAAAAAAATCTAATTCATTTATTTTTAAAAAAAAAATATTAAATTTATGTATTATTGCATTTAAAATATGTCAAAAATCTTTTTTTTTTTTTTAGATTTGAGGAACAATTAATTAAAATTTAGTTTATTATTCTTAAATTATATGCAAGCATGCCCGTTTTCACACATAGACTTTACTGCAGACATGAACTGCGGATACTGACAATTCTTTATTATTAATGTAGTTATTATTTTAATAATTAGAAATGATAGAAGAAATGAGGTTTTAGAAGGTTCTATATGAAATTTATGGAACAAACGAACATCATTGATTAGTGATCGTTCTCTAATATATATTTTATGATAGTTTTTTACATTAAGAAATGTTATAGTAAGACTATTCAATAAACAGAGTAATAAACACATGTATACAGTGTATAGATATAATAGAAAATTAGATTTAAAAAAAGCATTGGCTTTTAGAAAGACTTATTTGGACCCTCCGTTTAGTTCCTTTTAACTTACTAGAGAACAATTGAACTTTCAACCTTCTTTCCTCTCTCAGCGCCTGTAAGGTCGATTGAACCAAATAAAACGACTTCTAGAACAGTTGGGAGAACATTAGAATCAACTACATGTACAGAGGTAAAAAAAAATAAGGAGTCTTCTCCAGCACGGACGATACTATCAAAGGAAGGGGTCAATAATAACACCATGATAAAAATAATAATTGGAGGAATGATTTACTTTCTCTTTATTACAATACTTTTCAAAATGGAGAAGAAATCCTGTTTGACGTTCTAAAAAATCCCCCACAAAAAGAAAGTGAATCAAAATATATGAAAGAAGGAAATGAATCGGAACTTAATTATAAAAAAGAGATAGCTGCAATTCAACGAAAGTACAAAAATGTCGAAAATAGAAGAAAATAAAGATACCTATCATGAAATTGACAAAGCCATTGAGTGCATGCATATAAAAATATTATAGAATCGTTGATATATAGGCCCCTAACTTTGAGTCTTAAAATAGTGATGAGGACAGGGGAAGTTCTTCAGACAAATCAGATAAACTAGAGAATCAGGATACTAGGAACTTATCACAAAACGTAGTAATCCAAAAACAAATGAATAAGCAAATAATGAATATTTAGATGTTGTAAATGTTTTGAAATTTACTTTGAAATGCAAACATAATACTCAGTAGATATAAAATAAGGTATTATGTGTTTTATGTTTTTAAACGTTTTTAATACTCATATGCCATAGTCCTTATTGAATCCAATCCCATTGATAATCATTCATAGAGTAGGTATTAGTTATGTACATGTATTTCATGTTATACGATATCAAAAAAATGATAGTTATATCAATTGATAAAGATGTTAAAATACAGCAATTTTTATCCATAAACAATTATAGATTCTGCAAACAAAAAAGAATAACCTTAACTGTATCTTGCAGGGATAAATCAAAGAAGTAGTCTAAAGTCCATAAAGATGATACAACCAAGGGTGATAGAAAAGTAAACGATAGAAATATGTCAAAAACTTTCTTTTCAGGTACAAGGCACACTTTTGTTTATATATGATCAAGTTCATACTCCACCAATTAAGCTCTTACAAATGACACACAGGTCAATGAGCATGTAACTTTGACTGTGACCTACATGCTAAAAATAGCTTATTTGAACTTTCACCATAACTTTTGATCCATGAGAGATAGGTACTTTGTATGTGGAATTCAAACTTCACTAATTAAGTTCTTTCAAATCAGACCAAGGTTAGTGACCTTGTGACCTTGACTGTGAACTATATGCTAAAGATAACTTTTTCGCACCTTCGCCATAACTTTTGAATCATTAGAGAAGGATATGGAGATAACGAACAGTATTCAATCTCAAAGTCCAAAAAACAATACATGGAGGAGTGAGCATCCCCTGCCGACCGGTCACACCCGCCGTGTGCTCTTTGTCATGAACAGGAAATAAGATAGAGACTTCATATTTGGTATGCATACTCAATTAAGTTCTTTCAAATGACACCAAGGTCAATGACCTTTGACTGTGACCTGTATGCTATGAGAGCTTTTTTTCAAACTTTGTTGCCGCCGGACGCATAGTGTTTCACAAATACATCTTGTTATATATACATTTTTAACCGTTTAATTATATATATTGCATTTCAAACTGCATGCGAATGACTCAGATGAGAGGTGACAGGAAAAAAAAATCACTACAATGATATGGCCTTAGAACAATTTTTCATAAATAGATATTTTCCTTATTTTTAACGTTAACTGTTTTTTAATAAAAACAAACACGAATGAATTGTGTATACGTAATCAACTTTTAAATACATTGTTTAAAATTCTATCATGGTATTGTTTACATAAATTTATGTTGCCCTATACTTTTGCCTTATACTATATAGTTTCGTCCTCATTCCTTTGAATGTGTCATGAGGTTTAGTGATTCGAAATGGATTTATTTCTTAGTAATTCTCAGGTTTTGCATGATAGCGACTGAAGAAATAGGCGGTTCAACATGTTGTCAGAAAACGTACCCTCAAAAAAGGTGTGTTTACAATTACTTTCTGGACTTTGACAAGACCTGTAAAGGTAAGTTAAAATTCAACTTAAAAAGTACAATTTCTAATACATATACATTTTAGCTGCAATACAGATAGATTTCCTTTATTAAGTCCAGAGAGCATGTCTCAAATCAGTTATTCAATGCAATGCTATGCTAAGGGTAGTGTATTACAACTGACAGACTCTTCGAATTATGATTGTTTCATTTTCATTACATCATTTTATATTTTAATGAATAAGAATTATTTTTATTGTTTGATCACATAGAGAAGTATCTAAAACTAGATAAACGTATTTGTAGAATGAGTAAATTCAATGATATTCATAGAAAGGATATTTTTTTCTGAAACCCATCTTTCAATTTTTGTAAACAACAATTTGGAGTTTTTAGAACGATGTAATTCAAAAGCAATTGCATATATACTTATAAGAAAAATGCACTATTTCTTATTAGAGTGCCCTCCAGGAACATATGGATTGAATTGCAGTCAGAAATGTCCAAGTAGCACTTATGGACAATTTTGTTCAAAATTGTGTCAATGCCCCCCTGACAGATGCGACAGAACACATGGGTGTGAAGGTACTCACATTTACAATTTTATAAACATATTTAAGCATTGAATTTGGCAGTCTCATAACTGCAATGGCCCAGCAGGCACACAGCGTTGTTTAAACGTTGAATATTAGCTGAAACAGGGTTTAGAGGTTGATAAATCTAGATACAATATTGATTCAACGTTGACTTTTCAACGTTGAAAATTTAACGTTGAATCAACATTGAATTCAAATTGAGTTGAATTGCCAACATTGATTCAACGTAGGATCTTCGCTGAGCGGGCCAATCTTATTTTTCTCCGAAAGATAATTTGGACTATGATAGTGTCGGACTATAACACTGTCGGACAATAACGAGGTCGGACTCGACAAAGTCGCACTACCGTATATCATTACTAAATATTATAACTAACAAGGATGGTAAATATAGAAATTTTACACATTAATGATAAATATGAATTCAGTACGAATTTGCCAAAGTACGAATTAAGAGGATACGCAGCAGGGCATCCGGAAAATATTCAAAAAGACAGCATAATACAACCCTCAGGACTCAACACCAAGATTTGATAAAAAATACTATTTAAAGAAAAGATTTCGGCATGTCAGAGTACTAGTATCATTGAAGAGACGTAATTTGTCGAAATGCATATCTGGTGCATCAAAAGTTGTACTGTGTAAGATTTGCATCTTACCTTGGAATGGTTTTATGTTCTGGACTATTTCATGACCACATGTGAAAATACAAAACGTTTGTAAATGCTCGGGTTTTGTAACATGATTAATTTATAAAATGTATTTTGCTGAAAATTATTGTAACACAACTAACTTTTGATAGGAAATTAAGCACTTACTGTTTACAATATATAATTTTTTTTCATATAGTGATATACCGTATGTTTTCATTGAAGGGGTCCCGACCCTCTGCTATAAATTTCACCTTAGAAAGTTTTTCATTTGTAATATTGATTTTCATAAACAACAATAACAGAGCCACATGGAAAATAGTTTGAAGTATAAAGCGCTCCTTATTTTTTCAGAAATGATTTTTATGTGCAGATATTCAATTTGTCGGCACGGCCAGGTGTGTTATAGGACCGAAGACATCCAAAAATATGAATTCAATGCTTAAATGAAATACTATTTCGTCACCAGTCACCTACATATTGACGTCATCATAACATTGTGACGTCACAATGATTGAGAAAATCATCACTTTTTATTTGCTATTTATAGTACAGGAGGATGACTAAATGTATACAATGTTTTTACATTTTTAACCCCCTGTATTTTCCGCAATTTTGATTTTTCTACACTTCATGTAAGTTTCAATTGATAGAACAGCCTTCGGAACAGCTTAATAGAGAAACGAAAATAGTGCACAATGATAACAGATAATAATAATCAATGTTTTATTTATTTTTTCAATCTAAAATGATAACCTATATTTTTGCAGCAAAGAAATACAAACGGATCCTATAACAGACATAAATTTATCGCTTTGTTTAATAAAAATGGCGTAGTCTCTGTACTCATACGCAGACAAGCTTTGGTGATTAGGTCTTGTGTGTTTTGTGTATTTACCACTTGTAATTTTATGCTTTTTATTAGGGTCAAACAAAGTTAATGTAAATATTTTGTTATATACTCTTAGTGGGATCTTATAGAAAGAAATCATAAAAGGAATAAAAAAATATCTAACAAATGAAGTATCTGTATATGTGTTATTTATAAGCAAATGCAAAAAAGAACTCAGAAAACCATAATTTTGGAATACATTGCAGACATAGTCCTGGAGAAGGAGGAAAACTCAGGGCTGTGTGTTTCGTATGTATTGACTTTAATATTTGAAACATTCCTTCAACTGTTTATAAATTTAAGGACAAATGATACAAACAGACTTTTATTCTGAAAATAACGACTTCAGTCATGTTTTAATGAATAAAATGAATAAGGTTCACCGCGTAGTATTTAATTTTTTATTCAAAATTTCACAAAAAAGGAATTTGAAGTGAAAAATATTTGTATAGAATTATAAGCATGGTTTCAGAAGGGTAGAATTTGAACATCACAGAAGGTTTACAATTTCTTTATATTCTAGAAATTTATTATTTGCATCATTTGCAATGAAATTAGGTCAAAAAATATATACAAATCCAGGCATCCATTTTTTTTCTTTGTATCATCTGTCCTTAAAGTGTTGTTTAAATTAATACAATGATCAAAGTGTGATGAGACACTTAAAGAAAAATGGCAAACAGATCATGCTTTGGTTCATAAAAAACTGCTTAAAATTCAACATGTAAAACATTTCCATTGAAGTGTATGTCCTTGTTGTTATACCAGCAAATTGCTTTAAGAAAAGATTGCAATAAACATTTTTCATAATAAAAAAGAGGAAATAAACTGCATGTATTCAATATGTCGAAATAATTCGTTTTACTCAGAATTTGTCCCCCATTTTACAAAAGTGTTTACTTATATACTCGTATATATACTTGTACTCGTAAATGACAATTTTCTCTCGTAGTAAAGATGGTGAGATTCAGTGCTGTTTGAGCTTTTACAAGACAAATAACACTTGCAAAGGTAGTTGTCAATAAAATCCATGCACAAATACTTTAATTTTTATCTTCATGTCATGATTACAATTAATTTTTTCTTAGAAATTCCTCCGTGTTTTGAAATAAAAAAAAATTGTATTTTTTCTTTAGTCTGTCCAGCTGGGACGTATAACAATAACTGCTCCGATCCCTGTCCGCCTGGATACTATGGAGAATTATGTTCCAAAGTATGTGACTGTCCAAAAGCTTCATGTGATAAAGTACAGGGGTGCATACAACAAGGTACAAGCAGTTTTCGCTTTGAATTAATTTACAAATACAATATGAAAAAAAACCCAGTAGAGATTATCTGTCCAGAGGCTTCATGTGATAAAGTACATGGGTGCATACCACAAGGTACAAGTAGTTTTCGCTTTAGAATAATTTACAAATACAAATTGTAGAGAGAAAAACAAAGTAGATATAAGAGCATTTAATGTACTACTTAACATTTGTTAAACTGCTATTTCCACAGAAACAATTAAAACAGTTACAGAATAAATTAATTTACCGAAACGTTATGATTTCTAAGAAAGATATGGATTCAAAATATATTTCTTTTTTTAGCCTCCGTGACAGAGGTCCCATTGAATATGATCATCTTTGCAGGAAGCATCACCCTTGTCTTCCTCTTAATAATGACTATACTTATCAGAAAGTATTCTAAAATTCAAAGTCTCAGAAGACACGCACCTGTTTCCAACGATTTGACAGCAATGGATGTGGCAGTTTATTCAGAGGTGAAGGATTAGATTTCATGTGTAACCGACAGAAAACAGTTCTTTGCAATCATTTTCATAATAATTCTGTAACAAATTTTAAAAAAGTACTTTTGATTATTATGTATGCAAATGTATGTTACCATTGAAAAAGAGCAATCAATAGGAAAATAGACAAAATGCAAGGAGACCTTTTAAACTAAAAAAGCTAATTTTTTTTTCACGTTGCACCCTCAAGATGAACAATGATATTTTATATCGATTCCTCATATAATAAAAGCTGATATATATTTTTTTATGAAATAACAAAAAACGCAAAAATGCATGCCACATTTTTGAGCATTTTGTATTATATCAATTCTGAGGCTTTTGTTGTCATATATATATATATATATATATATATATATATATATATATATATATATATATATATATATATATATATATATATATATATATATATATGTAGGACTCCAAAGTGCGATGGGACTCCAAAGTCCAATGGTCACGCCGAAGTCCGATGGTCTGCGCCAAAGTCCGATGGTTTGACACGCCAAAGTTCGATGGTGCTGAAAACAATCAACGTTTTAATCATATACAAATTAATATAAAATGAGAAGACTAAGCCTAATCTTTTGGATATAGGTGCGAGACTCACACTTATCAGTCGAAAAATGTATAATATCTATGAGCTAGATATCTTGGATGGGTGCAGGACTAACCCAAATCAGTTCAGTTAGTGTGCGAGGACTTACCATAAAATCTCTCTGTAGAGTTCGAAGAAACATATTGGGGTTCAAGAATTATCTCTTGTCAGTCGAATGATGCACAAAGACCAACCTTAAAAGCTCTGGTGGGCGAAAACAATAAGCAAAATCAGAAAAAATTGTATGCGAGACAAATATTAATTTGAATGCAGGACAAATCATGACGTCGTACTATTGTGACGTCATAAAGTTGATTGTTTCTTCGCACCATCGAACTTTAGCGTATAAGACCATCGCAATTTAGCGCAAGGTGTCTCATAGGAAACGAGCCATCGGACTTTGGCGTGACCAGCGGACTTAGGCATCCGTAAAGATAGTGAGACATCGGGGTTTGGCGCAGACCATCGGGGTTTGGCGAGACCATCGGACTTTGGCGTCACCATCGCACTTTGGAGTCTTACATATATATATATATATATATATATATATATATATATATATATATATATATATATATATATATATATATATATATATATATATATCCGTGACCTTGTATCTACTTGGTAGATCCGACATTTAGGATATACAGTGTTGTTGGTTTTTTAGTGCTTTTTATATATATATATATATATATATATATATATATATATATATATATATATATATATATAATATATATATATATACATATACATACATACATACATACATATATATATATATATATATATATATATATATATATATATATATATATATATATATATATATATATATATATATATATATATATATATATATAGTAGTATAATACACGGTTATCAACAGGGGATGTTTGCTTTTCCTTGGCGCCTGACACAGCCTCTGATATTTTCTGATGTCCCTGTTTATTTCTTGTAGATTTTTTTAAATCGATGAATGATCGCAGGAATCGTTATCATCACCATTTTCATTATTTTAAAAAAAAAAATCTCCTATTGTTTGTTTAGCAGAGAAAGAAAATGCACGCATGTCATGGGGCCAACAATAAAGAATATGTAATTTTTATTAGTATTTAAGGATTCTCTAGTTACGGCTATTAGCCTCATCCTTATCAAAAAAAAACTTTTGGTTCCGAAAAGGTGGTTGGCAAAGAACTTTATTCGGTAATAACCAATATTTGCCCCCCAAATAAAACTTTGATGGAGATATATTTAATTAAGTTCTTAAACAGGGGAGTATATGCTTACTTCAAAGCACTGAATATTTTCATAAGTAATGACGCCATATGTACTTAATGACGTCACAAACATGACGTAAATTTCAGTTTTTTATGAATTTTACAGAAAAATGTACATATTTCGTCGATATTTTGAGTAAAAGTCACCGAGCGCATGTGTTCAGGATCAATATTTTGATATAATGTGTTGAATGATAATATCAATGAAATATGTCAATATCGTTTCTGAACAAACTCGCGCTCTATAAATTTTAAAGCTAAAATTGTTGAAATTTTGTCCATTTTGTCCTCTTTCTGAAAAAGAATATAAAATCGGACTAGTTTGTGACGTCATAAAAACAAAAAATGTTAATACACTGCTTTGACACTATAATATTTTCTGTTAATTTATATTTCTCATACAATTTATTGAATTCAGCGCATTTCAGGAAGTTTTCAAAAGTTAACTTTTGTGGGGGCAAATATATGCAATATACCGCATATAGTTCTTTTACCAACATCCACCCCTCATTCCTACATACATATTGTTATTGTTGTAGAAAATACATGTATTTGGTTTTCTTTTATATGAGCCCCCACTATAAAATAACATAGCTAAGTAGAGTTTACTATAGTTCACTATGGGTAACTGTACTTTGCTATAGTTAATCAAAGTTTTCGCTACAGTAAATACGGTTGATTTCCTACGAATTTCAAAGACGTTAATGGTAATCTAACAATCAAGTTCTATGATAAAAGTGATGACTTTAACTTCTCTATCGTTAACTTTCCTTACTTATGCAGCAATATACCTTCTTTACCTGCATACGGAGTTTATTTATCTCGGTTGATTTGATGCGATAAAAAGAGGTAAGTCATTGACAAACAAGATGATGAAACAAGAATTTCAGCTGTCCCGTGTGAAGTCATCATTTTGTACGTACTGTGGTCGATACAATGACCTTGTCAGTAAATACAATTTAACTTTGAGACAAATGCTGACTGACGTTTTTCATACTAATTGTTAGTCCTTTATTTATACACTTAATTGACGACAGATTTTTCCGATCATGACAAGGAGCACACGGCGGGTGTGACCGGTCGGCAGGGGAAGCTTACTCCTCCATGGCGCCGTGGATGTCTGTGTTTGATCTTGTTCCTATTTTGTATTGTTTTATGGACTTTTGATCTTGAATACTGTTCGTTATTGCAGCCCAGAGGACCGGGCTGCTCTATACATATAAGTTTAAGTGTTGGTGTATAAGAATTTAGGTGGGAGATGTTATTCAAAATTAAAGGTTTTCTAAAGAATAAACAGATCGCTAATCAGAATCTTCTTTCCCTTTATAAATTTTGAGATCATAATATATTTCCATGAAATGAATCTGTCAAAATATATACGTTTTTTTTTTAATTTAAATATATAAAGTTGTTTAGCATTTAATACCTAAATAACGACAGGTCCCCTTTTTTTAAGAACATTGATTTACTTATCGCATAAAAACGTACTGTACGCAGTTCGTGTTTTATATTCTTAAAGTGAAATACATTTTTGAATATAGGTGACGCATTTGTCTGGTTTCAATTTATATTTAATGCAGCCAACATTTATTTGATAACTGATATAGTTTCAATGAGTAATGTTTATATTGGATTTTCATCCGACTATAAGTTTTCAAAATATTCTCGATTGTCGTCTAAATCATTTTGATGCATGCCTTTTTCACACATATCGAAGCGGTTTGATGATCAAGACTAATTTCTATTGTT